TATTAACCTAGAGGTATTTACAGCACTTTAGAGACAGTCTTTGAGATATTAGTCTATTGTTCTCCAGATGTTGGCCTCACTGAAACAAATTCCGTTCTTGTTTCACTACCCCTCAGTCTCCGCCTTTGGATTTTGTCAGTGATGAGGGGCCAAACCTGGTCTGCATGGGACCCCTGGAGCCAGGTGCTCTTGCACCCCAGTTACAAAGAACAGAATAGATATTAGAAATTGGATAATACATAGTTGAAGCAAAGGAGCATATCCAGGCTGTCATCAATTAAATTCCTTCCTCTCCAACTTCTCAGTGAATATGGAAGTAGATTACAGTTTTCAGAGATGGTTTCCTTCCTGCCTCACTACCTTCCTTCCCATCTGAGGCTATATATAGAAGCAGCAACCAGACTTCATATAGACATCCAAAGAGATTACAGTTCAACGAAAAAAAAAATGCATGGATTTGAAACACACACTTAAGACAAAGGAAGGGCTCCATGCATCATCGATACAAAAGATAAGCTGGGGGGCGCCTGAGTGGCTTAGTCGGTTAAGCGTCCGACTTTCGCTTAGGTCATGATCTCGCGGTTCATGGGTTCGAGCCCCACGTCGGGTTCTGTGCTGACTGCCAGCTCAGAGCCTGGAGCCTGTTTCAGTCTGTGACTCCCTCTCTCTCTGATCCTTCCCTGCTCACGCTGTCTCTCTCTCTCTCTCTCTCCTAGAAATAAAAAAATTAAAAAAAAATTAAAAAAAAGATAAGCCAGAAAGCTAAGGAAATTGGTCTAGAGTACATATCCAAGAAAGTTCAATTCTACTATATCCTGTCTTTTGGAACCACATCACAACTTCAAGCCTGATGATTAACTATCAGTTGTAAATAACTAATAACCTGTCTACAGTTATGTGCAACCTCTGAATCTCAGAGAGTACTCTAGAGAGAGATAATTCAAGTATTACATTCAAGAGCCACACTTGCAATCATTATTACTCAAAAGAATAACTGTGTATGACTGTGGATGCCTTTAGCACAGTAGTCTCATGTGGAAATCAGATGACTGCATGACATTAAGTCAAAGAGCCAAAGGGCTAGAGAGCAGAGATCTGAACATCATGCCCATCCCACATGTAAATCAGGCCACAACTCTATTAACTAAAGAGTAAGTTCTGAAATCAAGTTATACTACTAGCTCAGAAGAGAGATTTCTCCAAAAATACAGGAAGCTTATTGCTTCTGGATTCTGGATCAGGGCTCAAGGGGGAATAGCATTCCCTTTTAAATATTAAATTATCTAGGAAATGTGCCTCCAAGCCTCTTTGAGATTCTCAAAAGAACAATGTGCAATCAGTTCTAATAACTTGTTCTAATAATAATCTAATAACAGCACTGTAAAGCCATTCTCACTGCTGACATCCAGCCTATGTCCTGCTTGGTTACCACACAAGCTATACTGATTATTAAATATTTTCAATATCACCTTTATCTGTTTATTTGTTTATTTTTTGAGGATGCAAAAGTTTATTAGAGTATAAGATCAGAAAGTAAGAATAGTATGAGAGTTCTCTTTACAGAGGGGGGCATTTAAAAGTGAATGCCCCCAATATCACTTTTATTTAAACTAAAATTTTCCCTGTGTTACAAATGAGACAGAAAGAGGAATAAAGAATTTAGGCGGCGGGCTCAAGAGCATGTAACAAGTCAATGGCATGGAAGGTCTAATAATATTCCCTCATATTTAAGGAAGTCCTCAGATCTTTCAGAATATTTTCATAGCAGTTCTTAGACCTTCAAAACAACTCAGAAAGAAAGGGAGTGGGACAAACAAAACTCCACTTTAACAAACGAAGAGTGAATTACAGAGGGCTTAAATGATCTGCCCATGGTCGGTGTAATATAATGGAGGCCAACCAGGATCCAGGAAGTGTTCTGTACATCTGACCTCCCAGCCCTGAGCTAAAACACCAGACTGGAGTAGACCAGAGAAGGTAGCAGCAAAACTCAGCTTATCACTTCTAGTTTCTAACTCTTCTCTTTTTTCTCTTCCCTTTTTCCTGTCACTCTTCATACCGTAAGAATTGACAGAGCAAGACTGATTTTAGACAACTGAAACAGAAGGAAAGAAGAGGAAGACCTCCTTAAATATACAAACCTTGATTCTCAGTCACTAGTTTTTCCTTCTTTTGGTTGATTGAGGTTCCACATGTACTGGATTATAGTTACAGAATGAGGGAAAAGTTTGAAGTTCAGAAAAACTTTAAAATAAGCTCTGTTGAAATGACTGTGAAAAACACACCAGTTTTTTATTTTGGCAGATATAGAAATATCCAAACTACTTTTAAAGGCCACCAAAGGTACAGGAGCAAAGATACCTAATATAAATAAAATTAACTAGAAGATTCATTTCAACTGTGTATAATCGTAGAAACAAAATGTAAAATGTAATTACTTAAACACTGTAATAAAACTAGAAATACTGAACAATGGAATTATTATTATCTATAATTGCAGAATTAAAAAAATATTTTATTTAAAAATTAAAATTTATGGGGCGCCTGGGTGGCTCAATCAGCTAAGCATCCAACTCTTGGGTTTCTGCTCAGGTCATGATCCCATGGCTTCATGAGTTGGAGCCCCACACTGGGCTCTGCACTGACAGTGTGGAGTCGGCTTGGGATTCTCTCTCTTCCCCTCTGTCTCTGCCCCTCCCCTGCTCCAGCTGTCTCTGTCTCTCTCAAAGTAAATATACTTAAAAAAAAGCGGGGGGCACCTGGGTGGCTCAGTCGGTTAAGCGTCCAACTTCGGCTCAGGTCATGATCTCACAGTTCGTGGGTTCAAGCCCTGCATCGGGGTCTGTGCTGACAACCAGCTGAGAGCCTGAAGCCTGTTTCAGATTCTGTATCTCCCTCTCTCTGACCCTCCCCTGCTCACGCTGTCTCTCTCTCTCTCTCTCACACACAAATAAACAAAAAACATTAAAAATTTTAAAAAAATAGAAACAACTCAGACTGAAAGTAAAAGAAATGCAAATGGTCAATAAACATTGGAAAGCTGATCCAATCTTACTCTTAATTAATTGCCAAATATTGAGGCACCTGGGTGGCTCAGTCGGTTAAGTGTCCAACTTTGGCTCAGGTCATGATCTCGTAGTTCATGGGTTCAAGCCCTGTATCGGGCTCTGTGCTGACAGCTCAAAGCCTGGAGCCCACTTCGCATTCTGTGTCTCCATTCTCTCTGCTCCTCCCCTACTCACACTGTCTCTCTCTCTCTCTCTCTCAAAAATAAACAAACATTTAAAAAAAATAATAGTAATTGTCAAATATTAAAAATCTGATAAGACCCAGTGTTGGTATAGTATACTAGGGGAAAAAGTCATTAAAAGCATTATAAAGATCAGTTTGACAACGCTTATCAAAATTTAAATACACATATCCTTTGAATAAGTAATTTCCCTTCTCAAAATTTATTTTACAGGGGCACCTGGGTGGCTTAGTCGGTTAAGCGTCCGACTTTCGCTTAGGTCATGATCTCGCGGTTCGTGGGTTCAAGCCCCGCGTCGGGCTCTGTGCTGACTGCCAGCTCAGAGCCTGGAGCCTGTTTCAGTCTGTGACTCCCTCTCTCTCTGACCCTCCCTGCTCACTCTGTCTCTCTCTCTCCTAGAAATAAATAAAAAAAAAACATTAAAAAAAATTTTTATTTTACAGATATAATAACACAGTACAGTGGTTATTTATGAAACAAAACCTGAAAATATTCCAAATGCCAATCAATAGAGGACTGAATTAAATAAAGCATGATATATTCAGGGGTGCCTGGATGGCTCAATTGGTTAAGCATCCAACTCCTGATTTCAGCTCAGGTCATGCTCTCTCATTTCATGGATTTGGGCCCCACATGGCAGTGCAGAACCTGCTTGGGATTCTCTTTCTCTCCCTTTCTCTCTGCCCCTCCCCAACTCATGCTCTCCCTCTCTCTCAAAATAAATAAACAAAAACTTAAAAAGGAAAAAACATGATACATTCATACTTTAGAATATAACACAGGTCTTTAAAAAAATAAGGAAGATCTATGTATTGATATAGAAAACAGTCTTGAGGTAACTGTGAAAGGAACTCTCTAATCTTATAGAAGAGTACTGGAAAAAGCATATGGGGCACCTGGGTGTCTCAGTCAGTTAAGTGTATGACTCTCAATTTCAGCTCAGGTCATGATCTCTTGGTTTGGGGGTTTGAGCCCCATGTTAGGCTCTGCAATGACAGTGTGGAGCCTGCTCGGGATTCTCTCCTTCTCCCTCTCTCTCTGCTCCTCCCTGTTTGTGCTCTCTCTCTCTCAAAATAAATAAATAAACTTTAAAAAAAAAGCATACATAAGAAACTGCTAATAGTGATTAGTGATTGCTTTTAGGGAATGGAACTATTTTCACTGTATAGGAGTTTGTATTATTATAGTCATTATGGCATTTTTTAATGTTTTTTTAATGTTTATTCATTTTTGAGAGACAAAGACAGAGCACAGCAGGGGAGGGGCAGAGAGAGAGAGGGAGGGAGACACAGAATCTGAAGGAGGATCCACGCTCTGAGCTAACAGCACAGAGCCTGACGCAGGACTTGAACCCATGAATGATGAGATCATGACCTGAGCCAAAGTCAGATACTTCACTGACTGTGCCACCCAGGCGCCCAAATGTTTGTTTCTTTATAAAGGCACAGTGGCCTCTTGGTTTTTTCCATCATTTAAAAAAAAAGTTTGAAAGAAAAAAAAATTCCAGAAGCAGAATCGTCAAAGGGAATGTATGTTGTTCATATAATTGTACATTTAGACTATTCCTTATCTTCCCCTACGGTAAAATATTTTTTCTGAGGTGGGATATTAATGATTTCTTGTATAACTGAATGAAGGAAGATGAAAAATGTATGTTACTTAATCAATGTCATAAATATTACCTAAATCAAATTAAGTATTTTAGTAGAAAATTAATTTGTCAGAAAGAAAATATACCCAATCCTCTTACCTGCCATGGATCCAGCCATTAATCTGTGCACATGACCAGAAACTCCCAGCTTTGTAGTAATTAACTAGAAATGAAAACAGCAAATTAAATGGAATCTTTTAAAAATACTTCTCATTTCATTGTTTAATAATGAAGATATTTCAAAAAACAGTTACACAATTAGTAAAAAGAAAATTAGTGTCAAATGTCAGTGAAATGACCACAAGTGTATAAAGGTGAACAGTGTTACAGCACATCATAAGATCAGGTATTTCCTATGAAGCCTTTACACCAATTCTGTGCTTCCACAATCTAACTTAGAATTTCCAAGTATGCTACAGTGCACATTCATGACCACATATACGTAAGTGTGAGGGGCAGTAGTACAAATAAAATGCCACTACAGATGATGAAGTCTTGATACACTGATGACACCGATTCTGACTGATTAGCTTGGAATGTTGTTCTCATCTCCATTACTTACTCTTCTTTTTAAGATACCCTATAAAATTTAACATACTTAACCATTTTCTGTGTTAAGATGCTTGAGAGGATAAACTTTCAGTCCCATAGAAAAGAGAAAGTCAATCAATGCCTAAGATGGAAAAAGGTAACTGATTGCATTACTCAAAAACAAACTTTCAAAATATGATTTCACTATTTTATTTGTAAGAAATCCAAAGCTACAATGTTCCTTTCCTACAGCTGAGAAACAAAAAGCACATTAAAAAGTTATTAACATTTTCTGGATTTATTACTATCTATTCGAAGTATACTTTGGCTCTTCTTCATAAGTATATACATAAACAATTTGTTCAAAAATGACTAATAACGCTGAACTAGATAACTACAAAACCAAGTTATATTTAAAAATTTAAACTATCACAAGTCTTTTTCCTTCAAAAAGGTATTAACTTTACCCAGTGATCCAAAGTAACTTTAAAGGCCAAAGCAAAGGCCTGTCAACTAACTATGATATTCAAACACACAAAAGGAAAACAATAAGGAAGTTCAAATACCATTTTATAGTGCTCAAATGCCATAAACTGGATTGCACCATAGGGAAAGATTCGAATCATCATTGCACCATTCCCTTTATATAATCCAAGGTATCCTTCCTTTTGGGGAACAGCACGCAATGCAGAAAATACTCCTATTTTTAGAAAAATGTTTAGAAGAAAAATACTATTAAAACAGAGTAAACTACATTCAAATTTTCATGACAATCACAGAAAAGATTACTATACTATCATTCATGATATAATTCTGCATGAGGAATTACATGAAGAGTAATTTATGTTTAATAGTTAAACGTACTAAAAATATAGAAGTCCAAATTATATAAGTGTAACTCAAATAAAACTATAAAACATATTATAGCAAAAACAGCCATAAATTACATTAAACTGTATTTATAATTATCACAAATTATATTAACTTCCAGCAATTTACAAAATATTAACAGAAACATATTCAAGGACCACATACTGCACTGCAGGTGATTGACTCTGGAAGAATAAAGGAAGGTTTCCCAGATTGACCTAGATTCATTTGTGATTTGTTTATATAAGGAAACTGCTAAATAAAAGAAAAAAATTTAAAAACTACCTATTACAACTATTTAAATTTGGGAGGAATTCTCATTGTTAGAATATTTTAATTTGGAAGAGTGATAAACAAAGGCCTGAGTTCTGATCCTATATGTGGAGAGATATATATATGTATAATTTATTCTATTAATGTCCATACTAGTACAGATTTCTCATAAATACGTCACTACTTCTTCTATTATTAAGCTATTTAAATTCAGGTTACGTTCCAAATTTTTCAAACAAAAATTTGATCAAATACAAAAGTAAATCACTTTGAATTTTAGAATGCAAGTAATCTTTTGATATCTTCCTACAAATCTAAGTTGTAGGTACTTATTAACATTAAAAAAAAGATATCCTAAAAGCATTTTTAATAAGTAGATATCTAAATGAACTAATAATATATTAAAAAGAATTTTCTAATATAACATGTATAATATATACTACGTATGTAAAATTCTCCCCAAACACGTGAATTATTAAACTAAATATACTTCTCCAACCCCAAAAAATTTTTCTTTCCAATTTTAGTATATGTGCTGCCAAAGAGAGCACCCAAAAAATATTTTCTTAAAGATGCCCTCTTGCCAGGGCAAAGGTTAAGCCCTGTTTAATTTGATTCAAATGTGTTTGTAACAATTTAAAGATAATCAAACTTAGAACAATGGCTACTTTGTAGGGACAGGAAGGCTGCTGATGAGGAAGAAGTAGAGGTGTCAACTGTACCAGTAATGTTGTGTGTCTTTGTGTGGGTCCACATATGTTTTCTACATTAGTCTTTAAAACCCTTTAATTACCACAAATATGTCGTTAAAAAGAATTTTAACAGAAACCACTAGTAGAAGTGAAATAGATAGTAATTTCAAAAAAGGAAGTTCAGAAAACAAAGTAGGGAAGGTTGCTGGGGAGGACAAATACAAGAAAACACAATAAACAAAACACTTTGATGGTGAGTAAAAAAAAATCAGTGGCCACAAAAAAAAAATCAGAGTGACATAAATCCTATTAAAAGCCAAAGATCCTCAAATTCTGTTAAAAGTCCATATCTAACCATATGCTTTTTATAAAACTCTTACCTAAAACAAAGTAACAGAGAAAGGAGGAGTGAGAATGGATGTTGAATATATTCAAATGGCTTTTAAATATCCATTGAGATGATCATAGTGTTGTTTTTCTCCTTCAACCTATAGTCTGTACTACTTTTGCTTTGGCATATTTTTACTTTATAGTACAACACTGGACCAATTCTTACAAAGTTACAAGCATGTTTAGAAAGAACATATATGTTCTGCAGGGTGTAAAGTTCTGTGTGTATCTTTTATACCAAGCTTGTGTGTTATTTGAATCTTTCCCTGTATCTTTACCTATTTTATCAAGCTAGGATTAGAAGGAACTAATATTTAGTAAAATATAAGCACATGCTTGTGTACATATACATTAGTTCTGCAAGAAAATGGAAGTAACTGGTAAAAATGCTTAATTAGAAATAAAGGAGGAAACAAGATGTTTTTATACTTTTTGAATTATAAACTTGTGAAAACATCACACATTCAAAAAACTAAAAACAAATTTAAAAATTAACAGCAATAAAATTAAAAGTAAACATTTTTAAAGAATCCTATTATGACTCATCTACCTATTTTATTTATTTTTTTTAAATTTTTTTTTTTAATGTTTTTATTTATTTCTAGGAGAGAAGAGAGAGAGACAGCATGAGCAGGGGAGGGTCAGAGAGAGAGGGAGTCACAGACTGAAACAGGCTCCAGGCTCTGAGCTGGCAGTCAGCACAGAGCCTGACGCGGGGCTCGAACCCACAAACCGCGAGATCATGACCTAAGCGAAAGTCGGACGCCCAACCGACTAAGCCACCCAGGCGCCCCTACCTATTTTATTTTTTATAAATAAATAAATATCAATTATCAGAGAATACTATGAAAAATTATATGCCAACAAACTGGACAACCTGAAAGAAATGGACAAATTCCTAGACACCCATACACTACCAAAACTCAAATGGGAAGAAATTGAAAATTTGAACAGACCCATAACTAATAAAGAAATTGAATCAGTTATCAAAAATCTCCCAACAAATAAGAGTCCTGGGCCAGATGGCTTCCCAGGGGAATTCTACTAGACGTTTAAAGCAGAGTTAATACCTATCCTTCTCAAGTTGTTCCAAAAAATAAAAATGAAAGGAAAGCTTCTGGACTCATTCTATGAAGCCAGCATTACCCTGATTCCCAAACCGGACAGGTACCCCACAAAAAAGGAGACCAATATCCCGGATGAACATGGAAAACTTCTCAACAAGATACTAGAAAATCAAATTCAACAGCATATAAAAAGAATTATTCACCATAATCAAGTGGGATTCATCCCTGGGCTGCAAGGCTGGTTCAATATTTGCAAATCAATCAATGGGATACATCACATTAATAAAAGAAAAGAACCATATAATCCTGCCAATAGGTGCAGAAAAAGCATTTGACAAAATACAGCATCGTTTCTTAATAAAAACCCTCAAGAAAGTCAGGATAGAAGGAACATACCTTAACATCATAAAAGCCATATATGAAAAGCCCACAGCTAATAAATATAAAAATGCCCTCCAAAAAGGCTATAAAAAAATGCTTACTCCCACCAATGATATATTAAATTAGTATACATGTTAATTAAATAGCTTTTATATTTGTAAGGAACAAATGAGGGTTTCATATCCTTTAACAATGTAAGTTTATCCACACTAACTGCATTGAATTCTATTTGCCCTAACATTTCTAGGAGGCTTGTTTAACTGGGTGTTTAAAGGAATAGGGTTAGGGTTGCCTGTGTGACTCAGTAGGTACAGCCTGCAACTCTTAATCTTGAGGTTGGGTGTAGATTACTTTAAAATAAGTAAATAATAAATAATAGAATAAACATTATCTCCATTATTAATTGGATATTTTTAAAAAAATCAGGTTGAGGGACACCTGGGTGGCTCAGCCTCTGACTCTTGGTTTTGGATCAGGTTATGATCACAAGCTTGTACAATCAAGACTGTGTCATACGCTGTGCTAAGTGTGGAGCTTGCTTAACATTCTCTCTCTTTCCCTCTGCCTCTCTCCCCCACTCTCTCTCTCTCTCTAAAATGAAAAAAATATATGTTTGAAAAAATAATAAAAAATAAAAAGCAGATTGAGCCCTTACGTGTGTCTAGAAATAAATCTCTTGCAAAATTTGCTCCCAAACTTGAACTCTGTTTTGTGTCCTCTTTCCACTAACTCACAAATGGAAACCAACCCAGTTGAGGGAAGTTTTCATTCATTTTTTATCTTTAGACTCCGTTAACTCACCTAAATGTTTGTAATGGTGATTGTGAGCTTGTAATAAAACCTTTACTCGATCCAAAGGAGCAACTGTTGTTTTGGCACAGCATCCAGCAATACCTGAAAAATTTTTAAACAGTCAAGATGAAATTGCATACTATTTCTTTCCACATTGAAATCATTATTTACTCAGCCAACACACCTTCTCATTTCTAATTTAGTCTCCACGGGTAGAACTGCCCAGTTGCAGGGATATGTAGATGACTGGCCCCCATTCCCTGTAACTTAATAATTGAGTATGTCAGACTTAAAAATAAATTAGAAGAGTGTAAATCTTCCCCCTAATACCTGATAAACACTAGGAATCTTGCTAAATGTAGTTAAGGAGACAGACACTTGAAGGTATTTATCCAACTATGAGGCTCTGTTTCAAGTAACCTCTACTTATGGATGACTCTTCATTGAAACAACCAACTTTTACCCATAAAATTCAGTCATTCGTTTATATATTCAGCAGTTATGTACTTGGTCCCTACCACACTGCCTCTGTGCACACATATGGATGAGAGTAATGTGTGTACATGGGTCAGAATCCAGGGCAGCCCTACTACCTCACATGCTTCTAAGATGATAATATATAAAGACTCCTTACTATATATAGATTGTGTCCCCCAAGTTCATATGTTGAAAACTAATTCCCAATATGATGGTATTTAGAGGTGGGGCTTTTAGGAATTGATTAGGTTAGGAGGGTTGAGCCCTCATGAATGAGATTAATACCCTTATAGAAGCCTAGAGAAATCCCTGGCCCCTTCCACCAGGTGAAAACACAGTGAAAAGACGCCCTCTATTAGGAAGCAGGTCTTTATCAGACACCAAATCTGCAGACATCATGATTTGGCTTTCCTGGCTTCCAGAACTATGAGAAATAACGTCTAAAGTTTCCAGGTTGATAAAAAGAAACGAAAGAAGGAAAGAAGAAGGGGAGGGAGGGAAAAAAGAATAAATAAAGGAAGGAGAGAAGGAAGGAAGGGAGAGGGGAAGGGAAGGAGGGAGTGAGGGAGGAAAAATGTTATTTATAAGCCACCTACCCACATTATGGTACTTTTGTTATAGTAGCCCAAACAGACTAAGACAATTTTGTAAAGTACCCTACATGTTGTAAACACTTAATAAAACAGGCTGTTATTATTATAAAACAGTGGATTAAAAGTCTTTGGTGTCTTTTGTGATCACATTAAGCTCTTCATCAATTGCATACTTGATCCAGAAAGTAAAAAAGGACTGGGATTGTGTAGGTCTCCTTTACAACTATATCCCCAAAGACCAGTAGAGAGCCTGGCACATAGTAGGCACCCAAAAAATGTTTGTTTAATGAATGTAGACTCGTACTTTACAAACTTTTAAAAATGAAAGACAAAATCACTCACATTTATTTAATAGCCTAGCATGTAACTAAGGTTAAAGGTCATACTCTTGAGATATCCAAAAATAAAATGCCTATTCGTATTCAAATCCACATATAAGTATATATATTACAAACTTCTATTGTATGAACTAATGAAAATAATAGTCATGGCTGCCCCAAATTGAGGATAAATGAAAAATAATTTGCACTTGGGTATATTTGGTTTCATAATATTTTGTTATATTATCTTCACAGTCATTATGAACTAACCATATAATGAAATATTTGGAATGTGTGCAATAACCAGTTTTCTCTGATAGTGTCTTAACTCATTTCATCACATTATTTTATAGCTCAATCATCACAACAATCCACTGAGTTAGGCCATGCAGATTTTATCTTCCTTTTGAGCAAATGAAGTTATTTGCCCAACACTGCTGCTAACCAACAATAGTCAACAAGTATTGAGTGTTTGTTTACTTTGTACCAGGTACTAGGCTAAGAGATTTAACTGAGGGCACTGGGTACCAATGAGGGCATCGGGTGTCAAGGCTTTTAGGGGTACTATCTCATTTCATCATTACAAGCTGATATAGGTACTCTCCTTTCCCCATTTAAAAGATGTAGAAACTGAGGTACAGGGAGGCTAAGTAACTTGCCCAGTGGTATTTTTTCTTATCACTTGAACCAAGAATGCCCATACAAAGTTATTCATACTTATCAAAAATCTGAAGAAGCACTTTACCAAATAAGAGACACAGATGGCCAAAAGAATATGAAAATATACTTGGCATCGTAAGTTATCAGGGAAATGCAAATTAAAGCTACAAATAGATACCATTAAACACCTATTTAAAGGGAAAGCACACACACACATACACAAACACAGAGGACACAAACTCTGATAATACCAATACAACTTTAGAAATCAGTTTGGCAGTTCCTACTTCACTGCAAGTAAAAGTTGGAATCTTTACAACTGCTTGCAAAGCTCTTCCTTCTGCCTCCCCATTACCTCTCTAACCTTTTACCCCCATCAACACCACTTGGCTCCAGCTACATGGCTTTCCTTCTGGCCTGAAACATTCCTCTTCAGACATCAACTTTCTTAACTCTCTCACTTCTTCAAGTCTGCTCTAGGGTCACTCTCTCCAAGCGACTTATAGCTATCTGAGTTAACCTTGCACCCACTCAGTTTCTGCGTTCCCCTTTTTACTTTTCCCCGTTGCATTCATCACCTTCTAACATACTATATAACTTACTTCTTCACTTTATTTATTGTCTTTCTCTCCTCAACTCCCCAATCAATGTAAACTCCAGGATCTTTTTGTTCTCTGATACACACTGACCATGTAAGCAGGCACGTTGCAGGCACTCATATTCCCTGTATAAATGAACGAATGTCGTTTTTATCAGAAGAACAAAATAATTAAATTCTTAACACTACTGCTGTCTACAGATTCTTTCCACAAGCCCTCATCATGTGGAATTTTTTTTAATTCCCAGCCTTAACAAGTAATTAAGTGTTGACAACCCAGACAATCAATTAAGAGAGGGTAGTGACTGAAACACTTCTTTATGGGAAGGCAGAGGAAATTTCTGAGAGACAATTATGAACTTTCTAGCCTCACATTAACAGGGATAGGAGGGCTGCACCAGCTACCTGTCGTGTAACTAGAGATGAGTTTACTACAACCACTGGAACCAGTTTGGTTGTAGACGGTTTTACACAATTTCCCCCATCATCTTTTAAAAAACTGTCCTCCGCTATTTTCTTTAAAGCAAACAGCAAAATCCAATTCTACACTGGGTCACTTAACGGTCTTTACACAAGAAAGGGGTGCCCAACATGTCTCACTGAAACCCTGGGGTCTCCGTAAAGGACTCCGCTCTTTCCGCTACTGTCCGACCCTGAAGAATGGGTGCTTGGTTCGGCCAGTCCGCTTCCTGACGGCTCGAGGCCCTTCCTCCCCAGGGTCCTGCTGTCACTAGCAAGTGATTTTTAGAAAGAGTTACAACAGGTCGGTGCAAACAACCGAGCCGGCACTGAATCACCCAGAGTCCAAGAATGTCACCGCGGCTGCAAACACCGGATCTGCCCGGGATCGCGCCCTGCCACCCGAGCACGCCGGCTCCTCTCCACTAACACCCACCTCCGGCCAGAAAGGAGCGCAGCCAGTAGAAGTCCCGGCGGGCAGTGGGCCCTCCGGCTCCTGCCGCCTGCGGCATCGCGGGGGGGGGATCGGCCGCAGCCAGAGCCGCCGCCGCCGCCATCAGGACCAGGGCCGCGTCGGGAACTCGGGTTGCCAATTTATAAGCCGCTGGCTGGAGACATGGCCAGAGCGGGCGGTGACAGGGCACCGACCGCCGCGCGGGCGGGACGGAATAAAACCCAGCTGCGCGGCGCGGGCTGATGGCGTACGACAGGGGCGGGGCCTGGCCACCCACCCTCGCCACCTCCCATATCCAGCCTCACCCAAGACCCTCCTCCCGGCCTCGCCTACCAGGCCTCTTAGGCTCTGATGGAAGATGGGAAGCGTGGCTAACGAGAAGTTCCCACCAAAACCCACCACCTCAGAAAGCTCTCCCCCGTCCATTGACTTGTAATTGCCCTACCTCAGATGAATCCTTTCCAGAAACAACCTTTGGTTCCTCATTGCTCTTTCCAGGACTGAAATTGCACCATCTCCCGCCAAATCAGTTCTGCCTTCTCAGGGCTTCTCACTGAACCTCAGTTTCTACACTCCCTAACCACCTATTAAAATGCTTCCACTCCACCTCATCGCTTTTGTCACAGAAATATTGTTAAAGCAGATTGCTCTTTCTTTGGGGCCCTACAAATTATACAAATACATATGCTTGCCCATCCTTTCTGAATCTATGCCTTCTGATAAATTCTCAAATCCCACTGAGCTCTACTCCCCACCAGCCCAGTCTCTGCCCTAAACTCTTAGGAACTTTCCAGTTCCTTCTCCTTGCCCCCACTGTACTCCAAGACTTTTACTTAACTGCTCCTCCTGGGGCACTGTTTTACTGTGAGCCCCTCATCACTTTCTTCCAGGCTGGGCAGAATTCATTCCTATTCTTTATGACCAAAGTTGTTCTGGACTTGTATTGTCTCTTTCAGAAATGATCGGTTAGATCTTCAATAGTCATTCCAACCTTTCCTATTATTGGCACTGGTTTCCTCTTTCTCTTTCTATGGATATGCTTCTGCAAGGTGTTTCTAGAAACATGTAGTCACTAATGATGAGTCCAGATTTAAAACTTATTTTCCTCCAGGTTCCCAATTTTCAGTTTATCCCAGAAAATACAGACATATTTAATAATATCATTATTTATATTTTACATGTCTAATGAGTGGAATCTAAAGCTCCTCAAATGGAATGGTTGCACAACACTGTAAGTGTAATTAATACTACTGGATTGTACAATTAAAAATGGTTAAAATTGTAAATTTTAAATGAAGTATATTCTACACAATAAAAAAATACAAAGAGAAAGCTCCTTACATTTCTTTAAATGTAACAACAAAGGAGAAATTGCTGTATTTTCATATTACCTAACTAACAAAACTGCCCCAATTCCTAGTGCTAATATGGATTTTCCCCAGGCCTGTAGGCTATACTGATACATCTTTTCTCTTCCATTTCCATTCTCAATGAGATGCTCCTTAAAAGTTCAGCTTATCACTTAATGGTTCTCAACTCCAAAACTCAATCCGGATGAAGGCTGGGAAGTTGATATAAATGATAACTGACAAGTCTAGTGATTTAAACATCCAATTAGTTAGTTAGTTAGTTAGTTAGTTGGTAATCTTTACACCCAATGTGGGGCTCAAACTCACAACCCTAAGATCAAGAGTCACATGCTCTACAGTGAGTCAACCAGACACCCAACATCCAAGTATTTCTTCTCCATCTATGTAACTGGTTACTACTAAACTACCCAACCTACAGATGTTACAGTGTCCCAGGGCTCAGTCAGTGGGTCTCTTCTATAATCACACTCACCCTAGATCTTACCCAAACTCATAGTTCTATTACTTTTTATTATTTTTATATTATATTATATATTTTTAAGTAAACTATACACACATCATGGGGCTTGAACTCACGACCCTGAGATCAAAAGTCTCATGCTAGGGGTGCCTGGATGGCTCAGTCTGTTAAGCGTCTGACCCTTGATTTCGGCTCAGGTCACTATCTCACAGTTTGTGAGATCAAGCCCCCTTTAGCAGAACTGCTTGGGATTGTCTCTCTCCCTCCCTCTCTATGCCTGCCCTGCTCACTATCTCTCTATCTCTCTCAAAATAAGTAAACTTTAAAATAATAATAGTAATCTTTAGAAATATATTAAAAAGTGAAATAAAATTTTCTGGGGAAACTGGCTGGCTCAGTCAGTAGAGTATGTGACACTAATTTAAATATTTTCCCTAGGGGCACCTGGGTGGTTCAGTCAGTTAAGCATCTGACTTTAGCTCATGTTATGATCTCACAGTCTGTGAGTTCCAGCCCCCCATCGGGCTTTGTGCTGACAGCTTGGAGCCTGCAACCTGCTTCATATTCTGTGTCTCCTTCTCTCTCTGCCCCTCCCCAAATCACACACTCTACCCACTACTCTCTCTCTAAAATAAATAAACATTTAAAAAATTAATAAAAGGGTGCCTGGGTGTCTCAGTCAGTTAAGCGTCCAACTTTGGCTAAGGTCACGATCTCACAGTTCATGGGTTTGAGCTCCATATAAGGCTCTGTGCTGACAGTTCAGAGCCTGAAGCCAGCTTCGGATTCTGTGACTCCCTTTCTCTCTGCCTCTTCCCCACTCACATTCTGTCTCTCTCTCTCTCTCTCTCTCTCTCTCTTTCAAAAATAAATAAACATTAAACATTTTAATAGATATTTTCCACAGCACTTATCAACTTTACATATATATTATATACGAGATTTATGTTACATATAAAGTATTTCTAGATCAGTTTCCCTCCACTAGAATGTAAGCTCAAATGAAGTTAGGAATTATCTGTTTAATTATTCAATATGTCCTTTGACACTGAATAGATGATAACTGATGGTAAATCTACTTAAAGACCAATATTTAAGTTTATTTATTTTGAGAGAAAGAGAGAGTATGTGCCAAGCAGGGAGGGACAGAGAGAGAGGCAGAAAGAGAATCCTAAGCAGGCTCCATGCTCAGTGTGGAGCTCAATACAGGGGTCAATTTCAGGACCATGAGATCATGACCTGAACCAATATCAACAGAGAGAAGCCTAACTGACTGAGCCACCCAAGCACTCCTCTTTTCTTGTTTTTTTTTAAAGATTTTATTTTTAAGTAATCCCCACATCCAACATGGGACTCAAACTCACAACTCCAGTATCAAAAGTTGCATGCTCTACTGACTAAGCTAGCCAGGCATGCCAAAAACCAATCTTTCCTATCTCCGTCTTTTGCTTTTAGAATATCTAGCAACAAGTAGCCAGAGCCTAAAAAAGTAGAGAAAAATCAATCCACTTCCTCAAAAAAATGTATTATTTCATGGGATGAATGTGAATCTAATAGTAAAATACATATAATACAAATAAAAGTGGAGACGCAGAAGAAGAAAGATGGTATTTGTTAGTTAGTGGTCATCGGGGAAGAAGGTAATTAAACTATCCTTTGACATGGCTAAGCACAGGCTAAGGCAAACATATACATACACACACACACAAAGAAGAAACCTGAACTTGTTCAAGAAACAAAGAATAGTCGGTTTGTTGATCCTTGATCCCCTCTCCATGACTCCCTAACACTTGTGTGACAGACTATTGACGAATAATGTTAGAGACATAGGTCAAGACTATATCATGAGCTGGTTTAATCTTTGGCTAAAGAGTTTAGACTTAGTTCAATGGATAAAAAGAAGCTGATGACAGCTCAGTTTTACAAAAGTTAATCTGGAAGAGATGAATAGAATGTTTGGGAAGGGAGGTACAGACAGATCTTTAGTAAGGAAGCCAGTTAGGAAGGTTTGGCAACAATCCAGGCAACAGGGCCTGAGTAGTTCAGTTGGCTAAACATCTGACTCTTGATTCCATCTGGCTCAGATCTCAATCTCACAATTCATGAGATCAGTGAGATGGAGCCCCATATCAGGCTCTGAACTGACAATCAGGAGCCTGCTTGGGATTTTCTCTCTCTCTGTCTCTCCCCAACTTGTGCTCTGTCTCTGTCTCAAAAAAAAAAATTAATTAGTTAAAAAAGAGGGCTGATAGGAGCATAAAAACATAATGACCTGAAAGGAAATGGGCGGAGAAAAAGCCAAAGCTGCTATAAACCTTTTTGCTAGAGTGATTAACAGACCTGATGGTATCACTAACAGAATAGGGAAGACAGAAAGAAGAATTGGCTTAAGACACAGAAAGGGGTTAGAAATGTTAGCACAGAGGCCCCTGGGGGGCTTAGTCGGTTGAGCGTCCAACTTTCACTTGGGTCATGATCTCGCGGTTCGTGGGTTCGAGCCCCGCGTCAGGCTCTGTGCTGACTGCCAGCTCAGAGCCTGGAGCCTGTTTCAGAGTCTGTGTTTCCCTCTCTCTCTGACCCTCCCCTGCTCACGCTGTCTCTCTCTCTCTCTCCTAGAAATAAATAAAAATATTAAAAAAAAAAAAGAAATATTAGCACAAAAACAAAAACAAAAAACAAAAACAAAACTGGGCACCTGGGTGGCTCCGTCAGTTAAGCATCTGACTTTGGCTCAGGTCATGATCTCACAGTTCCTGAGTTTTAGCCCTGTTTCAGGGAACATGAGCCCCATTGGGTGAGCCCTGCTTCTCTCTCTCTGTCCCTCATGGAATTCTCTCTCTCCCTTTCTCTCTGCTCATCATTCACTTGGGCCCTCTTAATTAATTAATTCAGTCTAAAAAAAAAAAAAGATGAAAAACAAAAACCAACAGAAAAAAAGCCAAAATAATTTTAAAAAATCTTTTTTAATGTTTATTTATTTTTCTGAGAGACAGAGAGACAAAGTGCGAGCAAGGGAGGGGCAGAGAGAGGGAGACACAGAATTCAAAGCAGGCTCCAGGCTCTGGGCTGTCAGAACAGAGCCTGACATGGGGCTCAAACTCAGAATCATGATCTGAGCCCAAGTCGGACGCTCAACCGACTGAGCCACCCAGGCGCCCCAGCCAAAATAATTTTCAAATAAGCACTGTATGTATAATGCAGCATTTACCAGATGCATACAAAATACCAAAATAAAGTCTGTTTTTTTTTAAATTTTTCTTATGTTTTATTTATTTCTGAGAGAGAGAGAGAGAGAGACAACATGAGCAGGGGAGGGTCAGAGAGAGAGGAGACACAGAATCTGAAACAGGCTCCAG